AGACACAAAAGTGGAAAAAAGGTGAGATGAGTAGTGTGAAAGTTGTCGAATATGACATACAATGGGGTGAGGGTAGTTTGAAGTCAGAAGTCAACTGCCAGTTAATAGACTTTTTCGCCGTATGAGTATACGTTGCCCAAGGTGCACCACGTGGAGGTAAATCTATCGCACACCCCACAGGCACAAAGGTAGAGGAAAGGCAAGATGAGTACTGTGGCAGTGGTCGAATAAGACATGCAGTCGGGTTATGATAGTTTGAAGTGAGAATAGACTTTGTTGCTGTATGAGTATACGTTGCCCAGGGTGCCCCACGTGGAGGTAAGTCTACTGATTCATGGTTATGTCAAATAATCTGCCAACAGTTCTATCAAATTTAACAATTAGGGTGTATACACTGGCTTGGTTTTATCCAATCCTGGTCATACACACATACATGCATACTATCTTTCAATCTCGCCTTTTAGTGCTTTCAGAATTTTAGCTAGTTATGTCGATTACTGGCAAATAGTAGGCTTAGTCAAAGATGAAAATGCATAAAAGTGCAGATTGATTGAGTAATTATGGGTTTTTTTTATTTTATTACCAATTTTACCTCTCTCCCCTTTTTTGCCTTATAGTGAAACTGTTCCGCCTCCCACTATTCAACCGAAGTGGATCTGCTGAGCCCAGTATCTCCTGCCCAATGGATGTGAAACACGATCTTCACGTGGTTTTTGATCAGAAAAGCGGTGATTTTCTGGTGAGTCGTGTATCTCCACCCTACCGCATTTATCTCACACGTGAGAGAACTCGTTCTCACGCTATCGTTTACAGATGTAAATGGGCTCCCACCTACTTACTATTCTCTCTCAAATCCACGAGAATTGGTGACAAGAGACTCATAATCTCATTTTACTCATTGCCACCACCTCATAGTCCTTTCTACCAGACTTGAAAAAAAGGATGTTCTAATCTTATTGATCTTCGAGTGGGATTGCAAACTGCATCAAAATATGGTTACTGACTGGTAGATTGTAGCCCCCCTCCACATCTTGTTCGGCCTTTCACCTCTCTACAAATGGGCGGATTAGAATTGTCTTGGTGGATGTGTTTGCTAACCAATGCGTAGTGTTTTGTCGTTCTTTTGCTATCCCACTTTTCTCGGTGTTCTTCTTAACCAATTGAGACAGAAACAGAAAGTTCCACTTTTGCTTTCATAGCAGTTCGTATATTTGCCTTCATTTTTTCCATCATTTTTCCGGAGAGAAGTCGTGGGTCGTGGTTTACAAATCTATAATTCTGTATGTGTCATTGTGTTTTCGTGCAGAAATCCATCTGGTTTTAACGCCACTATGGTGGTGTTTAAAGTCTATCCACAGAAACTCTAGGCTTATTGAATGGGGGGCTACGCTAGTCAAAGAAGGAGTTTATTTTGAAGGAGAGGACCGTACGGCGGTCGGTAAAGGGTTGATGACCGAATGAACACACATGCATTCGATAAGGTGGGCCAATATAGCTTTTTTTTACGCGAGACGCTACGGCGTCAAGTGAAATGAAGTAGATTTACTGGCTAAGAGGCAAGTTCACAAATATATGTATTTCGGTGCTTTTCATGCATACACACACATATACATCTTTCAATGCAGATGACTCTCTCTCCCTCCCATTGTTGGCGCAATTCGATTGAAGTACTTTGGAGCGACCCCAAACGATTGGTATTGTCAGTATATTTTTTTTAACGCAACGATTCTCATTTTTTTATTCTCCCGATTTTTAATAACATTCTGTGTGCGGATTTGCAACCGCGAAATTTCCAGTCTACTTAAACTTGAGTTTTTTCCATTATTTTTTGGCTACTTTCGCGACCTCCCCCTCCCCCCCCCNCCCCCCCCCCCCCCCCCCCCCCTACATCGGTAATTTTTGAAAGTGAATCTCAAACGAGAACTCTTGTGATATTTTGATAGAGCTTTTTCATTTCCTTGATGCGGAGTGTTTCCAATAAGTTAGGAACCGCCTCTATTAATCATCATTGGCCAAATTGAGACTTGAAGGTGGAGTGATTACCTTATTGTCTAATTTATCCATGGAATGTTCTGCATCTGTGAATATTCCTGTTAAAGCATCAATTATCATATGGTCATGTTTTCTCATAGATACAAACTTCTATTCAATCTCAAAAAGCGTGCATCAAACGAAAGTTGCACAGGCCTCTAATTTGTTGCCACTTTGTGATTCCATATTTTATACTTACTTCCTACACATCCTTGGCTCTTTCTACTAAATTGAACAAAAAAACAATGCAATTAAGTTAATATGAAATAGTTGAATTCCAATTCATGTTTTTTCTGAAAGAAGCTTACTTTAATTATATACGTTCTCATGCATTTAGTCGTAAAATTGTGCGTAATGCTAAGTTATTGATTGATTAATTTGAAGTATTTAAAATTTAGGAGGCTCTTTCTTTGTGCTAACCTATTCACAACTGTTTTGTCCCCATCAATGTGCCTGGTTCCGCTTTATGTATCATGTACTTCAATATGCACAGTTTAACCCTTTAACCCCCCTCGCGCAGGACCTACGGTCCTCTTTCGAAATAAGCTCCATTGGTGCTAACCTCGTAACAGAAGGCGCGCTATTGCCATTTGAAACATGTTCAATACGTGTCTATAGCCACCTTCGCCTGATACACATCGGCGCCATCAGTCTTCTGCTATGAGACCCGCGTGAGTGCTGTTGGGCTTTAAAGGGTTAATGCATTCGCTTTTACGCCACCAAATTTTAGGTTTTTCACCTCATTCCGATTATCACATCCACCTCCTAACAATGAAGACCTCTGCGGTAGTTTGAATTCACTAAACCATCAGTTCACAAAGTAATAAAGAAGACGCCTATTTGGCACATCTACAACAGTGGGACACAGTTTTATTGAACTGTGCATATTATCATAGATTAGCTGTTTGCCCTAATAGTGTGCCTTTCTGTTGTGCTAGTGTCCCAAGTAAGCAGGTGACTAATCGGCAGGGGTGACGACACGAATAGGAGGGAGGGAGGGAGGGGGTGGGGGGGGGGGGGGGAATGNGGGAATGTTGAATCGGCTAAGAAGAAGATGACTATTCATCGATAAATGTTAAATTCAAAGTGCTGGTTCATGCTAATTGCGAAAAATATATCCTTCTGTTATCTTTATGGTGGCATATTTATCGCCACGTGGGCGGTAAATCAATCACAACACACGTCAACTGTTGAAGTTAAGTTGACTCCAATGGCCGATTGCGATGAATGTAATCTTTAAACGATATGCGTAATAATTATGAACTAATTTCGATTAATTCCAATGCAATTTTAAGCGAATGGCCTTTCGTAAACATGAGGTTAATTGAAGCCGGAGTTATACCAAATGAGGCAACTTATTATTGATGTCTGCTTAGGTTTAACTGTTGCAGCCAAGTGAGATCGCTTATCGACCTACCCCCTCCCCCTCCGGTATACGTAAACACAAAGTTCGGGAGTTCAAGCCACGCGTCCTTAGTTTTGCACAAATTTATGCAGAAGTTGGTGGAAGTTAATGATCACACTTTAGATGTCACACTAGATGCCACGAATTCAATTGATCCTGCAACGTCCAGGCCCCTCCTACACTGTGTAGTGCTTTTTGCTTGCCTCTTTGACAGCAGGCTTTGTATTTTTGCGATTTTGGCTTTAAATATGGCGAACTATCTGTCTGTGTCTGGGGTTGTTAGCATATATATTCACTTATTTAAATGGAGAAGTGAAGGGATGAATTGTAGTGCCTGTTCCTTCACAGGCAGTCACTTAATTACCTTCCACCTCTTCACTAATGTGTTGGTCTTTTTTCCTTCTTGGCAAGTGGTACTCTCCTTTCTCTCGCCTCTACACCTCGCCCCCCTAATTCACTTTATTGCAGCGTCTGTGTGTGTTTGGCCGCTGTACTGTGCTGTAGCAGTCTGATCTTTCGTTTCCCTCTCTCGTTGCCACCGGGAACGAGAGACTTTCCCACGTGAATATGGTGTCTAAATGTGATCGCCCTTTCATTGTACTGGCGTGAAGAGGTCGAATGCCCTGCGTTACACCTAGCCTCATTGCACATGATTTTGACGTTTTTTTTGCGCAGGCAAATGGGATGGAGGGGGTGGCGTAGGGAGGGGTAAGGGGGTGGCGTAGCGAGGATAGGTGGAGTGCTTTTATTGCTGGTGCATGGGAAAGGAAGGGAGAGTAATAAAAATATTTTGTGTGTGTGTGTGTGTGTGTGTATGAAGATGATAGTCAGTTAATAGTCCCCTCGTATGCTTCTATCAGCTTTGGGAGTTTAGGACAAAGGCTCATAGAGAAATCCCTTTTAAATTAGCAATTTCCAAAATTTTCGAATGATTGGTCCTTTTGTTTCTACCCTCCTTGAGTGGAAGGGACTGTTGCGAAATCGCATTCAGCTGTGCTCTTCTTGAAAATATGTGAATGCCATTCACTGGAATCATATGTGCCTCAAGTTCGAGATCTCTGTCCTCTTGAAGCTTTAAAGTCTTCATTTATAACCTCTCTGCGTCTCTTTTTATTGGTAATACGTCTGTTGGGTGAGACTATCATTGGGAGGGTGGGTGTTCTGCATGTCGTGTTGTGCCTCCTCAGTTCTCCCATCCAACAATCAATAGCCAGATTAGATGAATTCAGGAGGTTCCGATTGTTGTCCTCTCAATTCCTACCTGTGCTTATTTTCTACTCCGTCGTCTTGTGTACCTGACTCGTGTTCTCGATGCACGGAGTTGGTGGATGGGAGAAAAGACTTTTTATTACAATTCTAATATCTTTTCACGGACTGTCTTAATAAATGCTAAATTTACAGATTTTACTTTGCCATGAAGTTAAGATTTAACCCAGAACAAGAGGAGGTAGAACTTTTTTCATCCTTTTGCAGGAGAATGCGAAATTTTTTACATGATTTAAATTGGGGCGCAAAGTTTTGCTCTTGTGAATTGAATGATTGCCTTTTATCTCTCTCTCTCTCTCAAGCTATTTGCAGTTCACTGTTCTAGAAAGGAGACACTTTTGGACACTTGTGTGTTTACGCGCGAGAAAGAGGAGTTTTAACAGAGGACCCTTGGTGAAGTGGTGGTACATCTAATCAATTGGACGTTGATGTAATTGTAAAATGGAGTCTTTGTCACTTTTTCTCTCTCTCTCTGAGTAGTACATGTAGAAAAAAGGCCATTTTTGAGTCGCTTTTCCTTAGGTATTTTGTGAATTGGACGATCGAAGTGACTTCACAGAGTTCAGATAACTTATCGCTTCAGACCTTTAGTAAAGCAAAATTATTTCCTTCTTGCACTATATAATGTTCAAGGCCATCGTGCTACTTTTCTCCTGAGGTCAGCTTCATTTGATGCCTTTAATTATACACTCTTTCCGTCGAATTTGCCACAAGAGTAATTCAAAATTGTGTATTTCCAGGATTTTATGATAAAATTTTGGCATTCGCTTCTCTCTATCCTAGAAGTGGGACATCAAATAATCCCCTACTTCGTTTCCATCGCTTTATCCACTTACCGGATTTTTCATGGAAAGGAGGGGTAGGGGGAGGGAATTTAAAAATCCGATAATCCTTAAGAAACAAGTGACGAAATTGCAGTTGAATCTTAGCCTCCCGTTCTTTTTCTCCACTTTTAAGGGTATGCCTCCACAATGGGTTCATCTCCTGAGGACATCGAATATCCCTACCTCGGAGCAGGCTGCAAATCCAGACCTCATGCTTGACGTCCTCCAGTGCTACGACGAGTCGGCTAAACCGAAGGAGAAGTACATGACCAATATCTCCGGAGTTACCAGTAAGTGGGCTTTTGCTGTCTGTTTTTTGCCCTCTCTCTGTCACCCTGGCGTGATTAGTCTATTGCCGCCACCCCACTGCCTCTTCCAAACATGTATGAGTCATCTCGGCGTCTCCCTTGGAGTGAGTAATTACTTGGACTGGCCTTTTGCTTATTCGAGTAGAGCTATGCAGCGCTTTCCTCAAGACTGACTGTCGTTTGAGCCTTACTACACAGAACAGAAGCAGAAGTGGAGTCTATTTGAATCTCTCTTTCGTCAGAAATAGCCATGTTATCGTTGTCGTTGTCGTGAGAGAATTGGCAACTTTCTGAAAGCGGGAAAGTCTGAAATTTTCCCATTCTTGTGACATCGAAATCCATTCATCCATTCCGTTTTATTTACTATGAACCGTTTTGCCTACAGTAGTTAAGCACAAATACTGTAAGGGAGGGTAGAGGGTGTGTCTCAAATCCTCCTTTCAAGCGTGAAATTTCCTTAACTTTTTGGATTTAAGCTGTTTGTGATTTGACTTGAAGGAAATTGCTCCAAATTTCGGTTAACTTCGCTCAGAATAATTATCCACCCACCTCAGAATAATATAGATGTTTGTTCTCATAAAAGAAATAATTGAGTTTTCACATGGATGAGCTCACATGTGAACCGAAATGCTACTCAAAAGCTCATATTTCTGCTGTTTCTACTTCATTTCTGCACAACGAGTAACTCATCACCTATCTCCTGTGTGTTTCTCTCTCTATTACTCTTCTTTTTTGCGGTATATGGTCCTCTTGTGTTTGTCCCAGACACCGCGCGCAGCATAATCGATCTGAAGAAGGAGGTCACATTAAGGCCAACTTGAGTTGTGAGTGCGTTGTTTTTTTTCCTCGCGGTCTCTTTCTCTCTCTCTCTCTCTGTGTGTGTGTGCTCCTTGCAGCACCCAACACCAGGTCTTTGTTTATCAAAATTCCACTCTCGACATGTTGGGCGGCGAGAGGCGGTGAAATCTGAAATTTTCGGTTCTGACTATTTCAGTTTAGGCCAAGTTATGTTAGGCACCTTTGCTTGAGATAATTCTCATGTGGTTGAATCTTATCTTCGGAGGTTATTGAGTGATTGTCAGCGTTTTGTGAAATAAGAAGTCTACTCGTAATTGGCCAAATCTTAAAGATGGTGTTGAGGATATCCTCCTCTCCTTGAATCAAGTTTTAGAGAACAGTTGACATTTTTACGAATCAAGCCAATTCTCCTCACATCAACAGTATATCGACTTCTTTTGGCTTAATTGCGGCGTTTAAAAGACTCCGGGCGATTTGTTGACATTTCCACAACAAAATGAGCAAGGTAAGATCTCGAGCACTGGTGGTGATGATGAGAAAGTTCTGGGTGGGCTTTTAGCATTTCCCACTATCGGGGCAATGAAACCACCTCCCTCCCCCCCCCCCCCCCCCCCCCTCCTCCTCTGTCGCTTAATAAAATAGCCATCAAAGGTGCGCGCACACACACACACACACACAACACTTAGTGTGCCAGTCAGAAATGTGCAAATTGCGTTTCCTATCTTTTGTTGAATTGGCATCGCGTCCAATGCTCTCGGCATTTAGGTGTGTGGAGTGTGTGAACACGCTTCACAATCGCTCGTATGTGTGCGTGCGTGTGTTGTTTATATTGGCAGGTTGTGCGCTGATTTGGGCGCATTCTAGCTGATCCATTGGCAGAATTAAAAGTAGTTCCTAGTTGAATTTGCATTTTCTTACCACCTCTACACTATCTCCTCAGAGGAGTACTCAATGACTGATAAATTACCTAAAAAAGAGGTGTTTCGGTCATTAAGCCACGGAGATTAGAACTGACATAAGACCTTGGCGGCTAAGGGCTTGTTCCTGTAAATTTGACATCTATTGCGTCGGTTACGAGGGTGGTGTGTGTGTGTGTGTTATGCATTAGAGTTATTCGTTCCTGGGGTGAATGGGCCGTGGGTAGATGACGTATTTCTTGACCTTTAGGTCACCGGTAAAAACGAGTACGCACTTGTTGCTGTTATCATTATTATTATTATGAATGAGTGGATAAGTTATATCGATAAGCAAGCTATCTAGGAAAAGTACCCTCGTTTTCTCCATGTTGGGAATTGACTGGAACAGTTTTAGGGACTCGAGTCATTTTTGATTGGCATTATTCCCCCCCCCCTTTCAATGCTTTTGTTTTCCGCTTGGGTTCAAGAACATTGCAATGGGTAAAGCCATGACTCCAATTCATTGACAAAGGTTCTTCTATCACCGTAGTATTAAGCTTTAGTCTAATTAGCGACAATTCATTGCCTTTACTTTTACGCATATATATATATATATATATATATATATATATATATATATATATATATATATATATATATAATTAATCATCATTTTATCACATCCAAAAAAAAATTGAGCCGGTAAATGAAAAGCGTAATTAATTTTTATTAGGATCCCGCTTTCTTCCAAAATCGAGGTTATTTCACAAATTCCATTTCAGAATGTGCATTAGATTTATAAATCGAACCAGAAGTTCAATTTTATTTGTCGATTAAACGACTACTGCTGCTGTTGCAATAGCACCGAATCGGAAGGGGGGTCAAACTATGTTGCCGATTAGTCGATGTGCTGTTTCATTTGTCACTTCTTCCCGATCCACCTTTTTTAATTTTTAATTAGTGCCGCTTCTCTCCCCCCCGCCCTCTAGGTTCATCAGGTTCAGTCGATTCAATGAGTCAATCCTCTTCCACTCGTTGCTCATCCACAGTCCAACCGACTGGCTTCATGACTCCTCTCTCCTCAGCAACTGGCCCTTCTAGCCTGGGTGAAGGTCTTCATTTCCTCTCTGACCGTCTTCAAGACCAGCGTTCCTCGACCCCACCTCATCACAAATTTTCCACCCTTTCCTCTCCTCTCGTCACAAGTTTTCTTCCTTCTGATCATTGTACCGCTAATGTCAACGGCGGCTCTCCAACAATGCGCGGCTATAGCTACAATGAGAAAAGTCTCTCGGGCCAGGCTACTGGGGCTCCTAGACGGACTAGTGAGGTTGTGGGTCCCCGACCTCCTCCTCCCGCACCCCCTCATCGAACTTGTTCTAGCAGTGGCGCTAATGGAGGAATGATTGCTGGCGAAGGGAAACAGCTATTACTTGAAGGTCAACAGGCCAAATGTAGTCAAGAGGGAAGTGCATCTACAAGCTCTGTTCCTAGTCTTCCGACAACTTCGGGAGTTTCTGTTGGAGGTGGATCTTCCAGTCTCTCAAGGTGAGTCATGCGATCACATCATGGCATACATGGAGTCGAACAAAAGTACCTGAATGCCATAGATTTATTTATTTATTTATATCAAATGGCAGGTGTCTTGATGGTTATCATTAGCCCTTTAGTTGACTTCAGGCTTCACAGAGGGGAAGGAACATCGAAGGGGAAAAGTCGAGAGGGGAGGGGACAGAAGAGTGTTTCAAAGATGTAAGAGACAAATACAAAGGTAGAAAAAAAGGTGAGGTGAGTACTGTGAAAATTGTCAAATATGGCATAGGGTGAGGTGATGGTAGTTTGAAGTGAGAAGTCAACTCCCTGTTAATAGACTTTTTTGCCGTATGAGTATGCGTTGCCCAGGGTGCACCACGAGGAGTTAGGCCTATCGCACACCCCAAGTTTCTGAATACCATATATAAATGCGTCTTTTAACTACTAAGGAGACGAACGGCTTAAAATTAATGACGTTGGAAATAGTCCTCTTGTCTCAAATAGAGTTTACCATGCGATCCACCACTGAGAATCGGGGTGTCACAGATTTGGTATTTAATACCTCTATAAAATGGAAACCGATTTCAGGTTTCTATTAATCTCCATTTGTGATGGTCTCTGGGACATTCTTAGGAGGTTGCATAAGGTTTTACTCGAGGATAATGGGGGGGGGGGGGGGGGGGGAGGGGGGTATAGAATTAGGCTGGTTTGAGGTGGCACATTTTATAATTATCCATCATATTAGACGAAAGCGAAAATCCCTTGGGGGGTAATCATTGCGACTTCAATGTGTGCCAATCGACGTTTCTAAAGTGTGTACTTTACGTGTATCTATATCTTATTCGTTCTATCGTCCACTATTTATCACCAATTTCAATTCACATTCACTGCATTGAGTTGTCCAGACATTGAAGCGGATAAGGCGAGGGATTTAAAATTTAATAATGGAATAGGGTTCCCATGGCTACTCATTAACCCCTTATCAAAATAAAACTTACTCAGACTCAAGAATGAGGAAAATAGAAGACTTGTTGCCCAAACGACGGGTTATTCAGTTAGCAAGGCAAATTTACTTATGTAGGGTTTGAGAGGTGGCAGATGATTGGCTGACTGACTAGCCTCTTCACTGGTGGTGGTCTCACGTGTATTGAGGTGGAAGTGTGTGGGCTTGAGAATTGAATCAAATCAATATTCCTGTATACGAAAGTGTTTCTCTCTCGCGCGGGCGGGCGAGAGGCTCTTTCTCTAGCAAGATCGAGGCCACATTTTGATTTTCACGCTCTTCTCGATGCCACCGCACACGTTTCTAATTGTCAGAAATGCGCACATTGCAGGTCCGTAGTTGTTGCAATTTTATGCACACACACACTGTCTTCCTTCGTGTCCTCGATTTCAGACACTGACGCGCATCATCAGCCTTGATTAGAGCAAAAATCCCCACCCTTCGAATGGCAAGTAGACGACTGGCAGACTTTATGATGCAGATATAATCGTTGGGGGGAATCCTGGAGGGTTTATTTTCTTACTAATTTGTTTATATTTACAACGAACGATCAACGCTCACCATTGTGCAGTCTGGTCAACTTGCCATCACTTGAGCTTATAATGTTACACTTTGAGACTAAGAAAAATCGGTATATTTGCGGATTAGCTATGGACCATGGGATATTTCATCTCCTGGGGGGGCTTTGCGCGTCTGAGGAGAATTTTGACTTGTACTCGTATTTTCTTTGTGACCTTTATGCTCAAGGTCGAATGAAGAGAAGATGTATACACTTTAAGTACAACTTTTTCTTCTTTGTGCACTTACACAAGTAAGATGATAATTGTGTCTTGTTTAAATCTGTGTGTGTAAATAGTGATTAGCTATGACTAAGAATTTAACGATCCCTTAGGGAAAAATACTGCGTGTGCGTGTGCGCGCGCAAAATGTGCCCAACTTTCCTTACGATAGTCAGAAATATGCTTTCATAATCCCCAAGACAGCCTCACAAGTGTAGCTGTCTTGGTGTCTTGGCCAAGTCGTGTACGCCTTTTTTAAAAATGCCATAAGCAATTCTCCTCGCAAACGACCGCTCGCACGCACGCGCGCACGTGTAGTTCTTGTTGAAACGGACCCCCATTTTTGGACGTGTGTGTTCAAGTGTCCGATTCGGCCACTTGGTAATTATATCCTTCTATTTACATAAACAACAGTTAGACTTCGTGACACTCCCCTTTAAATTACTAATAATGGGGGGCGAAATGGTTCACGAATGTGGCTTCTATTTCTTGGCCCATTCCACTCCACACTTCACTCCTGCTCTCTGGGTCATGCAAAGTGTATAATTAATGTGTCATCGTAGTCTACCTATTCCAATTTCAGCAGTGGATGCTCCTTCTATTACTACTCGGGTAGTGGAGACACGAGCAATTCTCCCACATCCGGATGCGGTTTCGCTGCCCCGCCACCTCCTATCCCTCCTCATCAAGTTGCCTCATCTACTACTAATAATACCCTGAGTAGCAGTTGTATTACTGACCCTGCTGCAACGCTCCGTGGCGATCATCATCGATCTGTTCCTCCCGCGGGCGGTGGTGCGTCAACTCTTGTCAAGGGTGCGGGTGGCCTGAGCGGTCTTGATTGGGACCATCGGGCATTTTCCTCAACGGAAGACTATCCCTGTCCGGAGAAGTCAAAGGTGGTTTCACCATCTGAGATGCCAGAGTCATTCACATCAGAGGAAGAGGAAGAAGATGGACAAGATGAGACGTCATCTTCTTCGGAACAAGATGATGAGACCGGTGAGGATATGGTTATCAATTTTGCTGAAGATGAGGATGTCTCTAAGGGGATGTCTCCAGAAACGGTGAATGACATGGCTGTTGCTATGGAGAAACAAGTCTGCGTAAGGGATGTCTCTCCCCCCAATGTGAGTTTAACAGTTTCTATGCAACGTTTGGATGAAATGGTGGTAGTTGACGCGATTCCCACTGCATCGAATATGGTGAAAATTGTGAAAAGCGACGCTCTTTCTTCAATTGTGATTGAACATATGCGCGAGGCAGTGATATGATGATCAAGGCAATTTTTACCGAGTGTATAATTCCTACATTTGATGTGTCCGTCTAAAAGCAGGATTTTTTCCCTGGGCTAGCTCTAGATTAAGAAGAAGGGGTGTGTTTTGGCGATGATTAGCTTATCTTGAGGTGGTGATCAAGATTTTGCAAGAATTATCGATTTTTACCATCAGCATCATCATCATTAGTATAGCAGTTGCTAATCCTCGATAATATGATATTGGAGGAATTTTTGTAATTAGACGTTCTATTTGTTTGAGTAGATAATAAGAATTCGAACAAATATTGGTCGATACTGAGGGATCAGTTTCCTTTACGAAGATCGAATTCATATCCAAGAATAGCATGTTAAAATGGCTGATTACGACAATTGGATAAATCGCCACAACAATATCTAAACTCTGACTGAACACGCTTATCAACATATGTGGATGTAGATAAGTTTCGTCAATTAATGCTCTATATAATTAATTTAATTCAAAGTGTCTAAACAAGAATTCACTTTTCTCGCGAACGTACGTTTTCTTTTGCCTAAACGGAAATAGCAATCAGAGAGAGAGAGCGATTGGTGAACAAAGGAATTGTCTAATTGGAAAAGAATCGATGAAGAGCGTTAGAAGCCGAAAAAAATATGGAAGACGGTTAGCAACGACCTTTGGAATTCTCGTTGGGGAGTAAATAAAATGTATGGCTTTCTGAAGGTGAAAATGACGAATAATTTTTTTGTCCAAATCATTTTCTCTCCCTTCCCGCGCTATAAGCGGTGATTAAAAATGAACACCATTCTATGAGAGGTCGATGCATGCGCGAACTTAGCGGAATGACCTTGGTATATATATATATATATATATATATATATGCCGTCACCTCTGCCTAGGCGACTGGGAGTGAGTGAGGGGGTGAACTTTAAAAGATCACCCATTCTCCCATGGTATTGGTCACATGAATGAGGAGGGGGGGGGGGGGGGGGGGGGGGAGAGCATAATCGGGACTTAAGTAGAGGTCTACTTTTCTACTGCCTTTTATTTGAACTTATCTAGGCATGGGGAGTTGGGTCGTGCTGTCAAAATCACAGAGCGCTCTCCGCGTGTCTAGACAGTCAAAGGGTAAATTAGGTTTGCTTTGAGTATGAAAAACCGAGGCTTTGTGAAATGATCCAATGTCATTTATTCGCTCAGATTTGATCCAGTTTGTTTGACAATTTCCTACTAAAGTTTCAAGTTTGGGTTGCATAACCCATCTCCGCCAATAGACTCACTATTCCCTTTGAAATGTGCAATTCTCATGTTCGTTCTCTCTCTCTCTCTATGCCTCCTTGATGGTCTTTGATGGTCTTTACAAATACCTTCCCCTAAAAGGCGAAATATGCCTCACCTGTCCTTGTGGGGTTACTGGCAAACGGCGCTCGCTCGCTCGCTCGCTCGCTAGTCTAGTTTACTTTAGTTTGCCAGGCAGCAGTAGAGCTGACTAAGCCTTCACTGCCAACCGACTGGTCGCGCTGCCCCCTACCTAAAGAGGAGGCGGAGGAGGTGGAGGGTGTGTATCGACCACCGTTGCGTCCGGAATTGCATTGGCGTGTGTGTGTGTGTGCGTGGTGCAAACGCGCGTGTCTCTTCCGCACAAACAACCTACGCATGGGGTCGTACATGCTAGCGCGTGCGCGCGCGCGCTTAGGGGGATGACTCATTGCTGTCTGTGTGTTCATAATGCAATTGCAGTTAAGGCCGTCTCGACAAAAACACTTACCATCTTTTGTTTTTCCCTCCCTACTCTCAACTTTATTTCTCTCTCTTCCTCTCTCTAAGGATGAAACTATACTGCCACCGCAACCACCACCACCACCATCATCACCTTTCTCCTCCCAACTGCCGACTTCTGCAAGCTCTCCAACACCATTTGAAAATGGTGGCACGCTTACCAATGGACATACAAGGAAATATCCCTTGGGTGAGTGTGTGTGTGTGTGCTGTCTCTTTTACCTCTCTCTCTCTCCCTCTCTCTCTCTCTTTCCGAGTTCAAGTTACTCGCATTGTACCAGCATTGTCATCGAGGCAGCATTCGCATAATTATTCATCACGATTATTTAATTAGATGCTGTTGGGGGTGCGCCTATGTATTCACTACAAAGTTTGCTTAAAGCTAAGAGCAACTGAAATTCTGACATATTTTGGGGTTGGATTGGAAAATGTTGACCATCAAATAGAGTAGTTTGCTAATTGTACGTAATTCAATGACCTTCACATATCAGTCGTCGGCAGTAATCATGAATGCTACTTAATGAAAGAATAGCATTGACAACTCTTGATTGCATAGATTCAGTTCAACGATTAAATGGATAGAACATGTTGATGCCGTCTATTTAAGTGTTAATCTACTTCTTCTGGTGCATAGAAAACGGAAATGGACCGGTCAAGACTCTACCTCTTCAGAAGCCCTCGTCACCAACCTTGCCTGTGGCCCCCGCCCCACCAGCAGTTCACCACTTCCCTTACTCACCAAAACCCTCCTCTAGCAACCACCATCAAAATCACCAACAGCAACAACAACAGCAACATCAAAACCATCATGCAGCTCCTAGACGACGAGCAGCCAACAACAACCATCATCGCTTGACAGACACGCAAGTGTATGAAAAACTTCGAGCTATCGTCACTCCTGGAAATCCCAACGACAAGTACTGTGTTGTCGACAGAATTGGCCAAGGGTAGCTACTTATTTCAATACGCCTTAAATAAACTATCTGCATCTCATCGCGCCTATCTTCTAACTTGCGTTGTCTTTCTTTCTTAAAAAAATGTAGAGCCTCCGGAGTTGTGTGCAGCGGTTACGAGATTGCAACCAAAAAGTTAGTTGCAATTAAGAAAATGAACATTGCTCAGCAACCCAAAAAGGAGCTCATTATTAACGAGATTCTCGTAATGCGAGCTAATCGTCAGCCGAACATTGTCAATTTTCTCGACGCTTACCTAGTTAATCCCACGCCTTCAAGTGCTCGTATCTCCACGTCCAGCAGTGGAAATGCTAGTGGGGAGGAACTTTGGGTTGTTATGGAATATCTGGATGGTGGTTCTCTCACTGACGTTTGCACAGAAACTTGCATGGAGGAAGGCCATATTGCAGCTGTTTGCAGAGAGGTACTATTTTCTATCTTGAAGTATTTATGCCGTCAGCATTGATAAAGGCAGGCTTAATGTGCGCGCATTGTTTATTTAGATCCTAAAGGCACTGGAATTCTTGCACTCCAACAACGTCATACATCGTGATATCAAGTCAGATAATATCCTCTTGGGGATGGATGGTTCCGTCAAACTCACCGATTTTGGATTTTGCGCTCAGTTGTCAAATGAACGCACCAAACGGTCTACAATGGTGGGAACTCCCTATTGGATGGCGCCAGAGGTTGTAACCCGACGGCAGTATGGCTACAAAGTGGATATCTGGTCTCTTGGTATTCTTGCTATCGAAATGATTGACGGAGAACCACCCTATCTTACCGAAAATCCACTTCGCGTAAGTGGTCATTCTCTAAACCCGTTGCGCAGTTGTTGCATGCTCTACTGTCTTGATTTTTTCCCGAATTTGTATTGAATATTAGGGTGTTAATTGTTTGCTTTTCCTTTTAGGCACTTTACCTCATAGCCACGATTGGTAAACCGGAAATTAAAGAGCGGGATAAGCTTTCATCAACTTTCGTAGACTTCCTTGATCGGTGTTTGGAAGAATCCGTCGATAATCGGGCATCGGCATCAGAGTTGCTACAGCACCCTTTTATCACCACACAGTCAAAACCACTCTCTTCTTTGGTGCCCCTAATCCAATTGGCTAAGGAGCAAAAATAAACCCCCCGCACAATTGGAGCAAGTAAGCATGCCGGAGGTACTACTACTTGTGGTCCCTCTCTCTGCTTGTAACTAATTCAGTAGTTGTTATTTTTCAGCTTTTCAACTTACATTCCTGTCCAATTCTGGTGGCTATATGACATAAGGCAGTGTTAACGCATTTCTTCTCCTCCTCTACCATCAGTGTTCAAATCCGCTTCCAGACAATCACCATTTCTACCCCTTTCGATATGTATAGGCCTCTCGAGAAACCATGTACTTACTTTACTACTGATATTCTTTTATTAGTGGTACTGAACGCTATTACCCAGTCTCCTAGTTATTTATACGTGAATGATTTTTAATCTGTCATTGCTTACTGCCCTTGTTGCTGCCCATAAATACTACTTATATTGTTAATTAGCAGTCGTAAATAGACGAGAGAAACCTATAAGCTATATCACCATTACTTTGCGCTCCCCTTTTAATGACGTATTTTTTTCTCATACCCTTCCTCATTTCCTTCCAATCGTGCCCACGCAAGCTAAAAACGTTGTGCATTATCACACACGCACGCACACACACACACACACACACACACACACACACGCATCTCCCTTCTTCCTCCCTGTAGGCCCTCGATTAATACTATAATTACTATTATTATTATTATATGAATCAATTATCCGCTGACATGCTGTCTATTGGTTGATTGGACGCTGCTAATTTTTAGGTTAAGAGATGGTGTACGGAATGAGATTCAATTCGCACTCCTACTAACTAAAATGGTGTGAGAAAAACCATCTTGTTCCTGAACGCGCGTTCCATTGTTAACTGGAGTTATTGTGTGTGTGTGTGTGTGTGAGAGAGGGGGGTGTGGGCGTGCGTGGTTTAAAAGCATCTTCGAAAAAGTGAATTGACACGTTAAAACCCTTGGGAGAGCAGCCGTTGTTTGAAATTGCTTAATTTATATGAAAATTGTTTTTTAGCAAGTTATGTCCCATCTAATTTAATAAACAAAAACCCGAGTTGCTACTGGCTTGTTCATTGATGAAGAGCGGTGGTTAGATGAGCTGCTACTATTTCGGATGAGAAGGGACTTTTCAATACATCAATGTGGAAGGGTGAAAAGGATCTGGTTCTAAAGATCTATCATGAGACTGGAGATACGCTAAGTTACGATCTCCAGAAAAGGATGTAGCAAACCAGAATTTGAACGAAAAGGCTGATAATTGTTGAATTTCGTTCATTGAATTAGCTTTTTGCAATATCGTTTCGTTGAAAAGACGCCTGTTTAGGATTCACAAATGACGGTCGTTAGTGAATTAGATTTCTGACATCACTCCGTTCAGCTTTTAGGTTGGAAGTGGAGTGGGCTTCCCTTCCGCCTCGTTATTCCACTTGTTCAGCTGAATACTTGTTCCATGGCATTGAAGACCTAGTTCACTTTGATTTTTGATTGAGACTAGAAGACAAATAATTTGGCATTCACTGAAAACTCAATGAAAATTAAATCAAATATAACCAATAGATGGACTTTTTGATTACAAACCTTGCAAGTAATTGACCCTAAGACCAGCCTCTCGTTATTATTATTATTGTAGAATAAGAAAGAAGCATTTAATTCTGAAAAGAATTCTTGGGGATTTAGGCAAGGCTTCAAATTGAGTTTTTCTTCTGATTGGGTGCTTCATTGAAAGATTTCGGCGAGGCGAATATCAATTAGGAACACTGCCTGATTTTTGCTGGGATAAATAACTGCAAATAAATCGATTTTTTGTCTGTGTACAATGTATTTATTTATATCAAATGGCAGGCGTTTTGATAGTTATCATTAGCCCTGGAGCCGACTTCGGGGCTTCACAGAGAGGAGAAGGAACATCAAAATGACAAAAAGTCGAGAGGGTGAATAGAAGAGTGATTCACAGATGTAAAAGAGACAGACAGACACAAAGGCATAGAAAAGGTAAGATGAGTACTGTGGAAGGGGTCGAATATGACAAATAGTCGGGCCATAGTAGTTTGAAGTCAGAAGTCAACTGCCGATCACTGGACCTTTTTGCCGTATGAGTATAGGTTGCCCAGGGTGCACCACGTGGAGGCAAGTGCGCAGTATCATCGATTTAAAATACCACGCAACG